CATCACTACAATCTTAACGTCTTTAAGACTATCGTCAACCGTTATCTATCCTACTTAGTGTCTTGTTTCCCCTTTGTGCACCCTTACGAAAACCTCACTTAGTAACCCCCAGCCTTGAGTGGTTCTTGGGCCTTGTATTGGGTGACCAACAGTAAAAAAGAAATCATTTTAAATAATAGTTTTTTTCTTTCCCGGAAATATTTTGCGCTGTCCCAATCACGTTTTTTGGGTTGATAAAATAAGGCTGAATTCCTACGATTTGCTGTCAACATCGTTTGGATACACTGAGAGATTTATCTCTTCATGGAATAACATTCCCACTCCAACCTTGATATCTCTGATCTACGATAGATACAAAGAGAGAGGCATCAGATTTGGAGCAGAGACTGCATCTGCCTCCACCCGCAGTACCTAGATATAATAATGGCTGACCGCTAGTATCCGAGTAAGTCTCTCTGCTAGGGCAAATAGCCAAGCCCCTTTGGAAACGCTTGTTCAGGCACATTTTTGTTTTTTCAACACTCAGCGATCCCACCTGTGGTTTATACTGCAACTGAATGGATTATTATCTGTCATGATCAACAGTCTGAAACAGGCTAGTGATATTTATTTAGAAACTCCCCACGAGGGTTACATATGGCACAAGGCCGGGTTTAACGTGGGATTTCCGAGCCCGTAGGCTCGGCCAAAAATAGTCCCTCTTTGAACCCGCATAAACGGGTTCAGGGGCAGTCAACCTCCCCGAACGAGACTTTGCCCTTCGGCGGAGCCATGTCCGGGTTCCTCTCCGCCCGAAAGCAGAGAGTTAGATTGTTACTTAGCCCGGAGCCACTGAAACAGACTAGTACGCTCAAACCATCACGATGACTTGTGACTTCGTGCTAACACATCCATCGATAGCTCGGTCATGCAACCTAAAATACATACAATTTCACTCCCAAGGCTTGGGTCAAATCGTGGTATGATTTTCAGACAATTTACAAAGGACGATATAAGCAACCTAACAAATCGGCTATGGTGAGAATCGAACCCGTGTCTCTTAGTCAGAAATCAAGCGTCCTAGTCACTCGGCCACCTGCACATATTGAATCAAGATAAAGAATAAGTAAAGAGCCAGCATTGTAACATTAAAAGCTAGTAACTATCCAGAATCACAGGAAGATAGACGCTTTGTACTCCGAAGGTTGGAGCTACATAATCTTCCTCCGTTTAAACATTTTTATTTTCAGTAAGATTCATCCTGTACAAAGGCACGGAGACACTCGAGCTAGAGGGCTACGATAAGGGGTAGTTTATATGGATAGGAGGGGAAGATAACGGTTGACTCTATACTTTGACAGGTTAAGATTGTAGTGATCGGGGAAATATCCTCTAGGGAGTCGGTTCCATAGGGCAGTGGTTCGCGGGAAGAAGCTTTCTGAGTGGATCTACATCCATACTAAGAGAAACTGCGTAAATATCACTGATAAGAACACTGATAATAAACCCGAATGAGAAAAAAAAAACGGAATAAGATATGGAGAAAAGTAGGTAAGAATGGACAGAATTGATTTGTAAAGAAAAGAGGGGAAAACAGAAATAGACAGACGTATAGGAAGATAGATCGATCGAACGAAATTTAATGAACATACATGCATTGGAATAAGTTCTAACGAGTACACAAATATATGTTTCCATGCATCGTCCATATACAAAGTTGTAGCTGATTGATCAAAGTGGGCTTAATATGCTGAAAGCGCTCGCTCAAATCTACTTTTATGACAAAATATGTTTCGAAATTAAATTTTCTGAGATAAATAAATATTCTCGTCGACCTGATTGACGTAATGTGGATAAGTACATTGGTTTCGTCGTTCTGATCAGGCGTAAACAAGGGCATATGTGCAATCCTTCCCACACACTCTATACATTCCGGTAGAAGTAGATCTCCTCACTTATCTTTTTTCCTCTCTCCAACTCTCTCACTCCGTCGATTCGCTAGTTTTCAGTTAGTTTTTGTTATCTTTCTCTATAACATTTGTCCCCTTTTTCTGTTTTCTCTTTATGTCTGTCTGTCCGTCTCTCTCTCTCTCTCTCTCACTTTTTCTTTCTCAAGCTTTCTTTATTTCGTTGTATTAATCACTCTTTCGTTCATACTCTCTTTTTCTCCCTCACTCTCTGTATCGATACTGCACGTTTTTATTTAGTTATTACTGTTTTTCTCTTTCTCCGGTTTTTCACGTTTTTTTTTTTACTTTGCTCTGTATGTTTGTCTGTTTATCTCTCTCTCTTGTTCTCTCTCCCTATATATATATATATATATAGTTTATGAAAAACTAGGTAATCCGTATGGGTAAACCTAAAGAGGATACAATCCAAAGAGCTCAACGTAAATCCAGAGCAAATAATTTAAATAAAAACAGACCACTTTAAGGTCCCATGTCATAAATTATTTCACCACAGCCCTTTTAAAAGGACTGCGGATCATCAGACTTTACTTCCAAACAAAAAATGGAAAGAAAATTTACACATTTTTGACGGGCCGTATTAAACATATGTAAATTAACGAAGTGAAGAAGTGAGGGGATATATATATATATATATATATATATATATATTTTCTTCTCTCGGCATTTCTTTATTTCGATGTTTGAATCCCTCTTTTTTTTCTGTTTCTGTATAAATATATAATATACTTTTATTATTTCCTTCTTTCATACAAATCTCTTCACAACTGTCTACCCCATCGATCTCTTTCCCTCTCTTATCCGTTCATCCTCTCTTTCCCTCTCTTACCCGTTCATCCTCTCTTTCCCTCTCTTACCCGTTCATCCTCTCTTTCCCTCTCTTACCCGTTCATCCTCTCTTTCCCTCTCTTACCCGTTCATCCTCTCTTTCCCTCTCTTACCCATTCATCCTCTCTTTTTCGGTTAGCTTGTTTCTATTTAGATATACTTTTCTGTCCTCCTCTTTCTCTCTCTCTCTCTCTCTCTCTCTCTCATACTTCTTCCCTTAATATTTCTGTTTCTCCCTCCTTTTCCTTCTCTCTTTGTCTCTCAATACATCTCAATTTTTTTCTTCCATTTTTTCATACTTTTTCACGCTCTGGTTTAGTTAGTTTTACCAAATGTCCATTCCCTCTCGTTCTACTGCTCACACTTTCTCTCTTTCCCTCTGTTTATCATTTTCGTTCTGCCTTTCTTTTCTTTTTTCCGACTTATTCCATATTTTTTTTTGCGTGTGTGTGTGTGCGTGTGTGTGTGTGCGTGTGTGTCTATTTCATACGCGGTGACATTCCATTTTGGTTTTCTCCTTTCTATCAAACCAACTCTTCTCTTAAGTCTGGAGTGGCGAGCGGAGGGGAGAGAGAGAGAGAGAGAGAGAGAGAGATCTCTTTCTCTCTCTCTCCTCCACTAGCTCACCATCTCCCCCTCCTCTCTCTATCACGTACCTCTCCATCACCCTCTCCTCCTCTCTCTCTCCCCACTCTCTCTGTCTCCTCGACTCTCTTTATCACCTCCCCTCCCTCTCCTCCCCTCACCCCTCCACTCGTTCGCCTCTTCTCCTCCCCTTCCCATTTTCCCTCGCTTATGTCCCTCTCTCCTCATCCCCTCTCTCTTCCATGTATCTTCTTTTTCTTTCTGACTTTCGACTTTATTTATTTCTGTAAAAAAACCAAGAGATTCTAATTTCTGTCTCTCAGTCTTTGTTTCACAGAGATGTGACACCGAAATCCGAAAGAATATCAAAATACCCCTTCGAAAAACTAAGCAATTTTTTTTTTACTATTGTTCATCTAATACAAGGCCCAAGAGCTACTCAAGACTAAATGAGGTTGTAGCAAAAGCGTAAAGGAAGAAGGCAAAGAGGTACCAGTTATGAGGATGTGTAGGATAGATAAAGGTTGACACTCTGAAATTAACTCCCGAGAGGATAGTTAACTTCTTCAAATACCTATCCTCTTAGGAGTCAATTTCATAATGCAACAGTTCTGGGGAAGAAGCTGTCTCAGAGAAACTTCCTCTTCACCAATACTGCTATGTAATATGAATCGTTCTATATGGCAGTGAATGTTGAACAATCACCTCGCAGATGGAGGGTAGACTTCAGTCAACAGACACGTTGTTCTACAGAAGGTTACTGAGAATACAGTAGACTGAGCGCGTAAGTAACGAAGAAGTCTTAAGAAAAAAATGCAAACCAAAAGGACTTATAGTAAAAAAAAATATGAAGAAACAGATGAAATTTCTGGGACATAATGAGGATGGGAGGCCTGGAGAATTTGAAACTCACAAGACATATCGAAGGCAAAGGAGACAGAATGTAGAGTGTCACATTCCTCACGAACTTGTGCAAATGAATGACAAAACGGGCTGGTTTAGAGTTATGATAAAAAGACAAACGTTAAGAGCTAGAAATGATAGGAAGTTGTGGAGAGCCATGATCGCTCACTCACTGAAGGTATACCGCACAAAGAAGAAGAATGAAACATTCTCAGCACAAAAACCCTCCCAGATTTTATTTTTTTTATTTTGGGTCATTTGGTCATCTTATCAGCACCCTCTATCACATAGGTAAATATTAACAGACGTAATAGAAAAAAAAAATAAACACAATGAAATAGAGATAAACAGATGGATGAACTGGAACTTGTTTCATAACAATTCTTACGGACCCACAATAAACAGATTGGGGAAGAGAAATTTCCAAAAACTGATATTCACAAAAAATAAAACAAATACGTGCGCAGAAAACAGCTTTCTTTCAGAAATTGATTTTTTAGGCAACATTTTCATATCTTTTATTAAATTTTCCCTATTGATTCTCTTTCTCAGTCTTCCTTTTCTTTTCTGCAGTTCTTTTGACTAAAATCTTCATCTCCTCTCCCTCCGATTCGTTGTACAGCTTACACTTTCTCATCTCTTTCTGTTAAAACATACAAATTAACATATATTCGAGAAAAAGATTTAAATCTTTTTTTTTCTTACTTTAAAATTGTAAAAGTAAAAAGTGGAAGGCATGCATTGACTATCAAATAGACAACATTACCATATGTTTTAACAGAGTAGAATCGATCGCAAAATAAGATTGTTATGTAGATGAATAGAGAATCGAATTGTTGGTTGCTTTTTTTAACTTGAATTAAAACCTGAGTGAAATTGAACACGAAATATGACTGTCTCTGTAAAGACAAGAATCGAATTCACAACACTATCACCTATCTTAAATAGAAAAACAAAACAATACAGTATGCTTTATGAGACTGAAATAGAAAACAGAAAACTAGCATATGTTTTATGAGACAAAAATAGAAAACAAAAATACCATATGTTTTATCAGACTAAAATAGAAAACACAAACAATATCGAATATCTCGTGAGATTGAAATAGAAAACATAAAACAATACAATATGTCTTATGAGACTGAAATAGAAAATACAAACAGTAAGATATGTTTTATAAGACTAAAATAGAAAGCATAAAGCAAAACCATACGTCTTATGAGACTGAAATAGAAAACACAAAAATGTTTATGAGACTGAAATAGAAAACATAAAACAATACCATGTATCTTATGACATAGAAAACAGAGAACAATATCATATGTTTTATGAGGCTGAAATATGAAACACAAAACAATAACATGTTTATGAGTTGTAAATAGAAAACACAAAACAATACCATATGTTTTATGGAATTGACATTGAATACAAAATAATGCCATATGTTTTGCAAGAATAGAATTGAACAGAAAACAATATAGAAATTAACAGCAGAATCGAACAATAACGTCAATAATGTTTTTCAAGAATAAAATCAAACACTAATAAATACCGTGAGTTTTATTTGACTGGAATTCAATCTTCATGCCTTTCGAATCTAACCATAGAAATGCTTATTATTCAAGGCCATGCCATTGTGCAAGTCAAAGCTAGTGCTGTTGTTTTTTTTTTACTTTTACTGTTCAAAAGAAAGGGGAGGACTGTGAACCAGACGAATAGTAAATTTATTTAGATGCACCTACATATATAATATATAAATGTAATATCTAAGGATATTTTTACTGTTACTTGACACAATACAAGTTCCGAGAGTGACTCAAGATAGAGGTTTTACTGATTTAGATTGTAAGTGTTGGGGAAGTAAGAGACTATTATGGTGACGTGTAGGATAGATTTCCGCTGACTCTGGACTTAAAGAGATCCGGATTGTAGTTTTCAAGGAAGCATCCACTCGGGAGTCGGTTCCACAAAGTAAGAGTTCTGGGAAAGAATCTGTCTTAGTGGAATTTGCTTCTTATAAAAAAAAACCGTGAACATGGCATGTCGGGTCCTAGGCGTGTAGGTCTGAACTCGTGGAACTAAGTAATGTAACTCGTCAGAAAACCTGCCATTGTAATAGCGACATATTATTGAAATGCTGGCAAATTTCGTCTTTGGGGTAAGGGTTGCAGTGTAGAGAATAATTCATCACACACAATGCCGCGTAAACGCTTTTGAGGTCTGGTAGCAGTACCCTATCTCTTCCATGTATCTTCTTTTTCTTTCTGTCTTACCTCTGTCTTTCGACTTCATTTATTTCTGTACCCCGCACCCCACCCACAAAAAAAAAAGAAAACAAAAAAAAAACCCAAAGATTCTGATGTCTTGGTGTGATATCAAATCTGGTCGTTCCACTTGGAGCGAAAAGTTTTAGTTTTGATTTGTGTTTGCCGTCGATCGCGGCTTAAGATATTTAAAGTAAAAAAGCAGAGATTAAAAACATAATTAATTTGGCCCCCAAAAGTTAATCCCCTTTATCTTGGTATATTTTTCTTTAATAAGGTCTTTAGAGTTAATCTATAATTTGACGGCGTTTCAGATCCAACACTTCCCAGGGTGTAGGAAATATCTGTCATTGGCATTTTAATCTTTGATTAAATTATCCACGTCAAACAGTTTTAATGACATTTGAAGAAAGGGCGCCAAACTGAACTGTTGGAACTTCTGGGTATCCTTGGCATATTTGGGAAATATATTAGAATAACCCAGAATTATACTGGAGGCAAACTGCATGCATACGTTCCCGGTAAAATCCAATGAGGTCTCCACCTATATAGCTGTGAATGTGAGGTAATCGACTTACAGATCATGAATAGACGTGAAGCTACACAAATGTGATTCTACAGAAGGATGCTGAGAATAGCACGGAATGAAAATATAAGCAACAACGAAGTTTTATAGAAAATGGAAACAAGAAGGACAGAATTAACATCAAGAAGAGACAGTTGATGTTTCTGGGGTACATATTGAGGAATGGAAGCTTGGAAAATTTGATACTCACAGGACAGACTGAGGGCAAGAAGGACAGAGGAAAGTAAGGTATAAATTGTTTAGAGAGCTTGAGTAAATGGATGGTGGAAGATACCAAAAAGACACAATTTAAAAAGAACTACAAAGGACAGGCTCATCGTAGTAGAATTAAAGAAACAAAACATTTATAGCAAAAAACAAGAAGGAAAATTAAATGTTCATTTAGCCAACACTATTCTGAGGTTTACACTGTGTTTGTACATAAATAAATATTAATAAGAAAACAGCATTTAGACCCTTGTGAAAATTAATTGATAGAAAACGAATAATTTCGTTATTATTTACTTTTTTCGCATTTTTCCAATGAAACAGGGACCAATGTATATGTTAGTACTTTGTAGGCCCATTCTATGGATCTTTCCTTGCAAATTGACCACAGATTCTCGACTGGATTTAAATCAGGAGAGTTTCCGAGCCAGTCGATAGTACTTTGATTTTCTCATTGGTAAGACTTGCTATTGTGTTCGTACAAGTGGAGTAACGTCTATTGCAGACAATGGCCGTAGGACAACTAATTAACAGTCGAGACAATAGTGTCAAACTGAAAATAGTGAAAAACTGATGCAATCACGGATGGCGCAATATTTTTCAAGGCAAAACAAAAGAATCTTACATGTATATAAGTTTGCCTTTCATCCTTTTCTATGAATATTGCTGGTCTGGTGCTCCTGCTATATATTTAGAGATTCTTCATAAAATCCAAAGAAGAATCTGCAATGTTATTGATCCTTCAGTCATTTTTCCACCACCATAAGGTACTTCACAGTGAACTTTCTATAAACAATGTCATGGTAAATGTTCTGATGAACTTTCCACTATAGATTGAAGACCAAATTTCCCCTATCTCTCCTTTTGATCTTGTGCCACATATTTGCATTAAAACAAAATAAATATTAATTTGCACTATGGCTGTTATTTTTATTCCCCAGACAGCAAATTGTACATACGGGAATTAGTTAGGACCTTATAGAGACTTTGTGGTATTATGGTGGCTGTAGTAAGAATGGTAAGTAAGGATGTGTTGTTTTCGTGTAAGGAATACTGTGGTATGTTCGGGTCAGTAATTGTGGCTAGATAAGTTTAATATAAGACAGATTGAAGACAAGCCTTCTTCTATTCCGCCTTTTGGGCACATTTTTCTATTTTCAAAATAAATAATACTTTCCGCTATGATACCTAGACTGAGCTGTCATAGACTATTATATATATATATATATATATATATATATATATATATATATATATATATATAATTGCTTAATATTAATATTCTATTAAAATTAATATTCTATTTTTGTAGTGATTTTATACATCACTTGATAAGACACTGAAGGTGTTGAAACAAAATGACTATTTTTGTATTTTGTAGTGATTTTATAACATATTTATGTTATAATTTTTAAATAAATAATTATATATATATATATATATATATATATATATATATATATATTAAATTAGTACATATACTAGTACATACGTGTTGGTGTGTGAATTACGCTGAATTACAGCTCGTCTGGCACAATGTCATTATCCTGCGGCACGGTGGATAAAGGCGTTGGTTAGATCCAGTGATAGGACCCAAAGAGATGTGAGTTCAATACCAGGTTAAGGCAGTGGAGAACTTGGAGAGATGAATTAACAGGAGATATCTGATAACTGACATCCATTAGACATGGCACCTGGAACTAGAACAGTCTATCCCGCGAGCGAAATAAAGGGTTCAGTTCGACATTCCAACCACCTGAAGAAGGCCGGAGTGTACAACGGCCGAAACGTTGTGGTAAATATGGCAACAAAGCTTAGGAAAATAATCCGAATAATGTAAACCGTATATATATATATATATATATATATATATATATATATATATATATATATATATATATATTAGGTGCGCTCTCTTTTGACATTAGACGATAAACGCACGTTAGAAAACCGTCCTTGTAATTAGAAATAAACGCTGACAACATCTGTACACATACAAACATATACAGAAGAAACGAGTCAGAGAGAGAGAGAGAGAGAGAGAGAGAGAGAGAGAGAGAGAGACTAAAAATAGAACGTGATGAAGGAAGAATCAGAGGAAGAGAGGGGAATCTCCAGGTTCATTAAATTGTTTAACGTCCAACCCTTTGATTTGCTTAGACAGTGTCTACTCACCTTTGGTGGCACAATGCCCGCAGACAAAGCAATGGTGAAGGCCATAGACTGGATCAGCTAATGATCAAACTGGACAACACCAGCTGGCACGTGATAGGCATTAGCGATACGCTCGCTAAAATAGCAACTTTAAGAGAAAAAAGAAATCGTACGTTTAGTGGCATTGGATCTTTGGTTAACAGTTGCATTGCAGGCAACGAAATAAGCATCCACAGTTTATCGTAGAATACATTACCCAAAATGTACAGTCTGAAAAAAAAAATGCACTAAAATCTAAAAGAACAGATGAAGAATTTGTCTATATTTTTGAGATGGATTTCAATAGTCCGAACAATGTAAATAGTGTACAGATAAAGAAATTGAGATGTTTTATGATGGCATCAGTTTGAAGAGCAACTATGCCACCATTTTGATGAGCAAGTTCAGTACAAAAGTAGGGTCAATAAAAACGGAGAGTCTAGTGAAAGAAGAGGTTTATTGATGAAAAAAGGGAGATCACTACTTTTAATTAGTTGGTTGGTTTCTTTTTAGCGGCATATCAGTGTCTATTGGTTATTTGAAGCCGAATTCTAAATATTTTGAATAAAATTCTATGGATTCAACTGAATATATTTTGAACACAATTGTATGCTTTCAACTACAGATAAAATGCATTGCTGGTCATTTTTCTTTAAAAATGTATTGTTTGTAATTTTACTGCAAATATGTATTATTGGTCATTTTACTTATATACAAATGTATGGTTGACTTTTTTGCTTAAAATATATATTTTTATACTTTCATATTGTTTTGTTTTTGTTTGTGTGCTCACTATATGCTAATAGCCCCGACACTAACAGGTGCTACCACCCGGGGTTAGGATGAACCTGTGAACAACAGCAATTAAAAGGTAGTTCCACGTTCTTCAAAACTTCCAATTTCAACTTCAGAGGCATGGTGCCGGATGTTGTCAACTTCTGTTAGTAATATTCTTTTTCAAATAACCGGAAAGACAGTAAATTAATGTGGAAAGATCAAGAGAAAAGACTACAAAATTATACTGATTTATTAATTCTTAACAAAGTCAAATGTCATTAAAAATGTAACCGTCAAAAACTGTTTTAATGTAGAAAACTGAGATTTTTTTTACGGCTTATCTACCCTTGCTGCATTATTTAAATGTGAAACATAGCAAGAATAATTCTTTTTTTTTGCATTAACAATTTTCAAGAATAAAATATTTTCCCCAAATACACGTCTATTTAACCCGTAGGTTAGGCGATGTAGATGGATTATACATTTCAAACCGTATTTACGATTAATTTAATGTTACTAACCTCACTGGAATTCGAACTCGGCTCTCATTCCGTGTCGCCATTCCATTACACCACCAGCATATCCAATTTCATTATAGGAAGCGAACATGAAATTTTAACTCATAAAAATAAAATTAGCTTAAAATTGAAAACTTAAAATTACGGCCATATTACGTTGAAAAACAAGTTCACTGCAGTTAAGCAACGTCGAGACTGGTCAGTACCTTGATGGGTGACCGCTTGGGAATAACAGGCGCAGTAAGCTTGGATGTGCGGGTGATGTAATGGATAACGGCTAGGAATTATTAATCGGAGAGCCGAGTTTCAATTCCAGTGGGGTTTGTTATATTCACTTACGCGTAAATATCATCGGGAAAGGTATGGATCCACCTCTTCTCTCTCCAGCTATGAGTGAATTAAGACGTGTATCACTAAATTATTATAAAAAAAAAATTCTTAGAACCTAAAAATATGTTCTCGCTTTAAATAACCTGAAAAAAAGGTTGATAGACCGTAAAAATGAATGAATCAACCCGAATAAACCCGAAACATATTTTGAATAGTAAGAATATTTCTTTTTTGTTTGCATTAACAATTTTCAAGTATAAAATGATTTTTTTTCAGATACAGGCACTACTATTTAACCCATAGCTGAGGGGTGGAGGTGGACTGATACCTTTTTCATTGGTATTTGCGAGTAATTGAATACAACGAATCCGAGTGGAATTCGAACTCGATTTCGTGCCACTATCCATTACACCACCCAGACGTCCACTTAATATAGGAAACGAATATAAAAGGCAAATTAACAAGGATAACCATGGAATCACCATTAGCCTATGAAATATATCGAATGTAATAAGTGTTTATAAAATATAAAATAAAATACATATTCTGTTATAATTAATATTGTCATTCATATCTGGGTCTTGGGGAGCGACGAATAGCGAAACTCGTAGTAAGGCGATAATGCCACCAAAACGGAAGTGGGTGACTCGGAAGGGGGGGGGAGAAGGAGAATACTTTAGTGAGAAGAAAGTACAATAAAAGGATAGCGATCAGAAATGTTTGAAGATTGTAGTTAACAGGGAAGCAAGTAATAGGAAGGGAGCTCAATGTTGTGAAGTGAGAAAAAGAGACTGAATAGAACTTATTTCCAATGATTCCCCACCATGTATAGCATCATATATATATATATATATATATATATATATATATATATATATATATATATATATATATATAGCGTCTTCGTTTAAATGCGAAGATTGCCGAGTTAAATACATTCTCGGTTTAATAGGAATGTCGGCATACTCAATGAATAATATCGTTTCTATAAAAAGCCTTCTACCAACCCTCTACAATACTAATCGTGTCGAACAACTAAACCGAAAATTATATATACAGGGTGTTGCCGCAAAATCCGACACTTGGAAAAAAAGAAAAGGAAATAGGCAATAAAAACAAAAGTTGTATATGCCGATACCCGACAGTTTGACAACTAACTAACGTTTTTCTCTCTACCCTTTTCTAGGATGGAATATGAGCGCAGAGCAGCGGTAGTAGCTTCTTTTCACATCGGGAAGAAGCCTGCGTAAGTGATGGCCTGGTTTGGGTTCAAGAGGACCTTGGTCATGGACATTTGGAGGAAGTGCAAGGCGTGTGAGAACAAGGACGAGTTTGCTGCCAAACAAAAGGCCCACAATGTTCGTTCTTCGGGCGTTAGGACCGACGAATTCGTCGCAGCCGTCAAGCAGACAGTCGACAATGATGGAAGCCAGAGCTATGCCAAGAACGCCACTGACATGGGTTGTCACAAGTCGACGATCTGCCAAACGATCAAGAAGGACATTTGTTGCTCCTCCTACCGCAATTCTCAAAGCATGCTCATCACGAATGTCTCCAAGGAGTCGAGGAATGTCAAGTCGGCGGCTTTGCTGAGCTCATGCCTCCGTTCTCCTTTCAAAAGGGCCTGAGAGTCACCGCAGAGATCTACCAAAAGGTGCTGAGGAGCGAGTAGCCCAGGATGGACAAGATCGCCGCCGGACGCCCCTACGTCTTCCAGCAGGACCGCTTCTGTACACAAGGCCAAGACGACCCAGGCGTGGCTGCTCAACACCACTGGTCGCCGGACTTGTGTCCGCCCTTCCCATCCGACTGTAACCCTCTTCTGGGGCGTGATCGAGGCCAAGACCAACAAGCACGCCCACAACACGGTCGACTGTCTGTTGTCTGCCGTCGTGGAGGCCTTCGCCTCTATGGACAAGGATATGGTTGCGAAGGCGTGTGACTCATTTCGCTCCCGCTTTGAGACGGTCATCGCCGCTGGCGGCGGTTATATTGAAAAATAATGTAGTATGTAACACTAACTGTTGCTAAATAAACTGTCAGGTCCCTGCATATGCAACTTTTGTTTTTTAATGCATATTTCGTTTTCTTCTTGTCAAGTGACAGATTTTGCTGCAACACCTATATATATATATATATATATATATATATATATATATATATATATATATATATATATATATATATATATATATATATATATATATATATATATATATATATATATATATATATATGTGTGTCCTATTATACATTGTGTATCTAAATTTATATTTACATATATTTCTGTTTGTATGAATGTGTTTACATATGTATGTTAGGGTACATGTATATTGGTGTGTATGTATATGGATGTACGTTTATATATGTATTTGGTTGAATGTCGTTGTATTTATGTCTATGTACGCATATACGTATACTTGTTATTATAGATAGGTATATATATATATATATATATATATATATTTATATTTTGTGAAAATATAGAAAATAGGAAAGAACTGGTTAGGTAGATCCAAAGTTCCTTAGTATTTTTAGTTATTATTTTAAAAAATAGTGCTCTCTCTCTCTCTCTCTCTCTCTCTCTATATATATATATATATATATATATATATATATATATATATGTTGTTTGGGATGTATATGTGTGTGTTGACACCTATTATATATGAGATTGTTTGTGTGTATGTGTAGGTATGAAAACTTTGGTTTGTCATTACTGCCACATGAGTTACTCTATGTGTGTATATATGTTTATGTTTATGTATTGGTGTATGCATATATATATATATATGTGAGTATGTGTGCATAAATGTGTGTATATATATGTGCTTATATATGTATATATGTATGTATGTGTATGTGTACTTGTTATAAATATGTATATGTATGTATATATTTATGTTTATATATTTATATGTATGTATTTCTATGTATATGTGTGTTGGTTTGTGTTTGCTGTCGCGCGTATATATATGTATGTATGTATGTACGTATGACTGTACACTTATTTCTCTAGGTAGTTCTTTTTATCTTATTTTCTTTCACCTAATATATAATAAAACATATATCAACTTATATGATTAAAATATATGTTTTTATTGATATTTGTGGGTTTGGAATTTTCGTTTTTTAATATATTAAATAATATTATTTTTAACCATTTTTAAATTTGTATATTTGCTCACTTAAGTTATTTTTTAATAAGTGGCTAGCATTTGTTTAATGACACTTTCAGTCTTAAATATTTATTGGTTGTGGTATCTGATTGTCTAGGTCAATGTTGTGGATGTGTGTACATGTATTTATCGGTGTCTATGTGTATGCAAAGTGCGTTCACTTTTAATTGTGTATGTCTGTATGTGTTGGTTTCCCCCTTTTTTTTCATAAAGGGCCATGGACTTGTTCCCTGTATTGTCACTTTTTTGTGTGTATATATATATAAATATGTCTGGGTGCTTATGTATTATAATCTGACTGTGTTTGTGTTGTTTTACGCGTGAGTTTAGGACCCCATTCACACACTTGGGATTAAAATGTATACATATATATTATCCGAGGACCGGATGACGTAGCGTCTATTCTAACGTAATTTCAACGAAGAAATAAATTGAATAACATATGTATTTCTTCTTTTCTCCTCAGTAATTTTATAATTTTAAACATAATAGTGATTAAATTTGGATTTTAAAATTGGCAGTTTTTAATTTTAATATCAAATTTTATCATATAATTTAATAATTATTGGTTAGAATAAATTCTTTTTTAATATTACCCGTATTTTAAAAATCTGAATAGCTATTATAACATGACTTCGTTGTCAAGCTTTTTGAATTTTCCTATACTTGTATTTTGATTGGTCATTCGAGCTTTTGTAACAACGTTTTCCCCTTGCGAAGGATCGTCAATTAATTTGAAGATTTTAAAACCATTTATTTTACATTCAACTTGATCATCACTTGATAAGACACCGGGGGTGTTGAAACAAAATGGCTATTTTTGTAGTGATTTTATTCATTTCGTTGTTGGAATTGTTACCTGATGATCCGGAGTCCTTTAAAAAGGATTTTGGTGAAATAAATTATTGTAATGGTACCTTAAAATGGTCTGTTTTTCATTAAATATTAGCTCTTTATTCATTGAGCTCTCAGGATTTCATCCTCCTTGAATTACCCATTCGGTTTACCAAGTTCTTCGTTAAATTAAATATATATATATATATATATATATATATATATATATATATATATATATATATTAATTTAATTTAATTCGAAAACAGACAACCTTAAGGCTCCATTGATTATATTTTATTTCCCTCAGGTAGGTGGTTTTTTTCCCGTTCATCAGATCACATTTCGAAGGGTAAAAAATGAATTTAAATTTATGTATTATTTTTATACATTTTGAGGGGTAGCTTTAAGTTGATATAAGGTGATAGAGAGAGTGGAGAGGAATATGGCCGATATGAGGGAGAGAAGGGAGAGATAGGAATAATTTTAAATCAATTTTTATAATGATACTTAAGAGTACGGGAGGGGTGAAGATCAGACCTAGACCTAGTTAATAAGTCATCTCACAGGAAACGTGACAAAGAGAAGTAAAGGTATAAGAAATCAAATGTAGAAGCAGAGATGTGAGGGAAAAAGCGGGGAAAGAAGAAAAGGAAGAAAAAATTACATATATGGGCATACTGAGGTTAATTTGAAAGAAAAACATAGATTGATATATTTGGCTGTTAACATTTGACATTAATTTAAACATTTAAATAATTATCAACAAAATAAACTAGGAAACAAATATAATGTGAATATAAGATAAACAAACAACAAAAATTAATATATATATATATATATATATATATATATATATATATATATATATATATATATATATATATATATTTAAGTTACGAAGAACTTGTTGGAAGTGTTACCTGATGATCCGGAGCCCTTCAAAAGGATTTTGGTGAAATAAATTATTGTAATGGTACCTTAAAGTGGTCTGTTTTTTCATTAAATTATATATATATATATATATATATATATATATATATATATATATATATATATATATATATATATATATGTCTGTGTATGCGAGCTGATGATGCATTGATGTGCATCATGCCAGTTTTTTCAAGAAATTATCTTCACGTCATTTTACATATATATATTCATGTCATATGTGAGTGTGTATGCGTGTGTGTATTGCTGATTATGAGAGATAGTGAAATGTTCTTAGCATAACCAAAATGGGATTTCTCTACAAAATGCTGGTATTTGGTCATGCCTAAAACATTTCATTACATCCTAGTATGTGTGTGTGTGTGTTTGTGTGTGTGTGTGTGTGTGTGTGTGTGTGTGTATGTGTGCAGGGGGTGCTGAAAGTGTTTCAGTTCAATCCATTCACAAAATCTAGGCTAAACTTTATTGTTATCCAGTCTTCTTGGTCAGCCCGATAAATTTTCGGCACCTTTCGCACACGCGCGCGGGCACATACACGCGCGCACACACACACGCATACATATCCATCGTTCTTTAAATCTATTCATAAAAAAATCTAACTTATATCTATCTAATACAAAGAGTACGTGCAGAAAAAAAAGAATAATCCCTGACCGCAGAGAGATCTAGAGAGATACAAATGCACACTTACGAATACACACTGCCATCCAGTTCCCGCTTAGACATACAAGAATCTTTACAAACTTACATACATATATAATTATCTTCGGTTTAAATGCCTGTGATACATGACGGACCAATGAGAATTGACCCAAACAAAATTGAAAATGTTAAGTTCTGCTTTTTTATCTGTTTTCTCTCAATGTCTGACGAAGCTTTAATAAACGTGTAACATGTTAGATTGATAAACGTTTCCTATTTGTTCTTTATCTTATCATATATATATATATATATATATATATATATATATATATATATATATGGAGATAGATAGATAGAAGATGAGAGAGAGAGGGAAAATTATTAGTAAACTGGAAGGAGGGAGAGTGACGCGTGTGTTTTCTATCTGTCGTGGATAAACGATATAAAAACAAAATATTTTACAACTTCAAGCACTCATTTTCGTAGTTTCAAAAGGTAACAGAAACCACAGATTTCAAATGCATTTCTTTCTTCTCTCTCTCTCTCTCTTCTCGCTGGTATCCTCTTTTTACATCCTTCTCTTCTGGGATGCTATTCATTTTGGGGCCCTGTTTTAGGGACACTAGCAAACTTCCGACATTGACGAGGCGATTGACACTCGCCTAAGAAAATATTATCTTTCTTTCGCTCGTTGAGATCGCAACATTATCAACAGGATGTGCAGGTCGGGAAATGGGGGAGCATGCGGGAAGCAAGTGTGTACACTGGAGCGTGTTGTACAATGTCAGCTCTATCTCTACCCGGGGTATTATTAACTTTGTCTTCTTCCACCCATTTTCTCCTCATTTTTGTCATACGTCTATCGCCTAGTGTATTTCTTTATTTCTTTCGTTCTTTCTTTACATGTGTGAGAAAATTTCGAAATTTCTGCCTCTCGTTTACAATATATATATATATATATATATATATATATATATATATATATATATATATATATATATATATATATATATATCGCCGGAGATATTAGCACATATTTAATACAATTTTGATATATTTTTCTTTTACGAGTTAAGCTTATGTCTTTTATATTTTACGATTTCTTCTTCTTACATTGTTTTTACAATAAAAATTTAACTCGTTTCTGTTTTATTTTCCTTTTTATCTCTTTCTCTCTCTTTTGTTTCCATTCGTTTTCTTTTTTGTCCTTTTCTTTTCTTTCTTTCTTTCTTTCTTTCTTTTTTGTTGGCTTTTTTCTTTCTTTCTGTTTCATATGTTTTCTTCTTTTTTCTTTCTTTCTGTTTCATATGTTTTCTTCTTTTTTCTTTCTTTCTGTTTCATATGTTTTCTTCTTTTTTCTTTTGAAGTTTCTTTTATTTCCCCCTTTTTCTCATTCTGTTTCTTTTATTTTTATTTTTCCCTTTCGCCCTCTTTGTTTTCGTCTTTTTCTTTCTTTTTCTTTTTCTTTTATCTCTTTCCCTCTCTTTTTTATTTCTTTCTCTTTCCCTCTCATTTATTTTTTATTCTGTTTTTCTCTTTCCCTCTCTTTTGTTTTTATTTGATTTTTCTCTCTCTATGTCTCTTTTTGTAATTTCTTAATTCCTTTCCATTCTCTTTCTCTTTTTTCTTTCTTTGTCGAAAGCTAGATTCTAAACCATCTAAACATTTTCTTTGACATATTTTCTTTCGATTTTTGTCTCAACTGGAGTTATGTCGATCTTTCTGACTCGAGTCCAAACAAATTATGCCTGTCTTTTTTACTCTAGTGTAAACCGAACCAATATCTACATTTTTCTATTGTAGTATAATCCGATCCATTATCTACATTTTTACCTCCAGTATAAACGGCACTGATATCTTTTTGGCGTTATTTTCAACCGGTTCTATGGTCTTTGAATTCAGGATAAACCAAACCTAAGTCTATATATTTGACTCTAGAGAAAACTGCATCTATGCCTACGTTTTTGAGTTCAATTTCAGCCGAGCCTATATTTGTTTTTAATTTTATTTTTTGTCTTAAGGAAAGAGGAAGAATATCTTGGTTAGGCCAAGAATCATTCGGTATCGCCTTGTATTTGTCGACGTACAAATTTCGGTTGAAAATTTGTTCATAAAAACAAATAAATATAAGAGAGAGGTAAGAAAACATAGAATATAAATTTTATATTTTTAAAGAAAACTAAGTTTTAAATACATAAATAAACATTCTTCAAAATTTACATTCGGAACGAAAATTCAAATGATTTTTTAAAACGGAAATAATTAACGGGAGTACAAAAACAGTAAAATGGTCATTAATGATCTGAAATTAATAATAAACGATGAAAATAAATGCAAAATAATAGCTTTGTTATAAAATGTAATAAGAACTGAATTCGGGAAAACCCAAGTAAAATTAAAAAAAAAATGATTGAAAAAACAAAAACCGGAGAAAACGTAAAAAAAAGAAAACAAAAAAGTTAAATTCTCAGATATCTGTGTGTTAAAATATCGTGGTTTTTATCGTCGGCCATTTTGGCTGTTAATCAAGTGACTGAACACTGTTTCTGATCACTGTCAAGTATTTGTCAGATAAGGATAATAAATTAGAAAGGGACTTTCTCGCCACATTATTTAGGGCAAGTAACGGCGGGGGAATCGTAAAGTTTTTTACACTAGCTTTCTTTTATTATCGCACTTTGCAGTTTATACATACGTACATACACACACATAAACGCACTCACGAACACACACGTATAAACCATTTAGTTAATGCCAGTCATAGTTGATCTAGCGATACAAGGTTGCAAACAACGGCACCACGTCGAAGATTATTATTATTATTATTAGTAGTAGTAGTAGTATTTTATTTGATTTGATTTCTGTTGTATACCCATTTCCTTCTAGGTTAACTAAAGTCTTAGGGTTAGAAATGGCATCATGACATTTTTGACTGAACAACTTTTGAAAAAATCAAAAAACAAGAAGAACAACAAAAAATCATACATTTTACATGCGTAAAGACCTTCGTAAGGTGTGTGCTGTATTTGTGAGTACAATTTGTTGTATTTCTTTAAGGCATGAGCTACGAGAAATCCCTTCAATGAGTCTATCGGAACTTGTTCCGAGCAATTCGAAAGCTCCAACTATAACAGGAATTGTTAATGTCCTCATGTGCCACATTTTGGAGATTTCGATTTCAATATCCCTGTATATTGATAGTTTTTTGAAGATCTTCAAAGATACATTACTGTCTGCAGGGACTGCCATGTCAATAAGGAAACACATTTTGTTTTTATGGTCCCTGATCATGATGTCTTGGCATTAAGATTTGATTGTTCTGTCTGTGTAAAGTCCTTAAAATTGTTACAGCTCCCATGTCTGTAACTGGTCTGGGTGGTGTTCATACCAATTTTTTTGCAGTGTTATTTCCGTAAACGTTGCATATTTTCCAATGCCCACTCTTTCATGCCGGGTTTTATATTCAGTGGGTGCCAATACCGTAGAACGTCATACAAGATGCTCAATTGTTTCTGGATATTTATCACAGAATCTGTATTTGGTGACAAAAGAATGTGTGCTTTGTAATTTCTCGTTAGTAGGCATTAGTCCTATGCAGCAAGAATAAAACCTTCGGATTTTAACCCTGCACGACGTAGCCACTGATGAGTACGGGGTTTGTCTACACCAGCTTGTTTGGTAAATGGCAGAATATTGACAATGAAAAAGTTTTATCTGGCCATCGTTTCTGTATCAGGTCCATTGCATTTGCTTTCTTTTTTAAAGGTTTTTATTTGCCGCTGTAGTAGGTGTATTATAGTTTACTTGCATTTCTTCACCCACTTGAAATTCCATTTAGAACTTTTTGGTTTACTTTATTACTTATTTCTTACTTCTTTCATGTTCTTTGACACGGATCCAGTCTTCTGTAGTTTCCAGGTATCTTTAGAGGTCGATTTTTGTAGTTTTATAATCTGCCTCCTTCTGATCTGGACACCAAGAACGATCAACATCAGCCTTGAATGCGATGTCAAGTGAGAAGCTTTTTCGTTTTGGCGTCCATTCGCTTAATGTCAGCTATGGTCTAGTTAAGAATGTTGAAACTTTATTGTTCCCAGGTACAGGCAAAGTGTTTATAGCGGATATTCTGTTTTGTGAATTAAACTCGGTATTCAATATCAGACGTACACGTCTGTAGTCTTCTTTTCTTATTTTCTCCTTCATTTGTGTATGCTGTATTCCATCTCCTTCGCTAATTCCTAGGTACCTATAGGCTTCTTCTTGTTCCAGCTCCATAATATTTGTGACAAAATCTAGATTTATTTATTGCCTTTCTGTAATTCCCCCTTTTTCGAAGGTTAATTTTTCCCGTTTATATTTTTATTATTATTATTATTATTATTATTATTATTATTATTATTATTATTATTATTATTATTTTTTTGATTTCTATGTTTACATTTCTTTTCCGGGTCCCGCCCAGGGACCTAAGGTTAGAAATGGCATCATGACACTTTCCACTGACAAAAAAAAAAAAAATTACATAGATAAAGCCCTTCGTAAAGTGTGGGTATTATTATTATTATTATTATTATTATTATTATTATTATTATTATTACGTGCGTAGTACAGCATCACATATTTTGAACATTTTACATTATTGGTTCTCACCATCAAGTTGCTTTGATCTCGGGCATAGAAAACCTTGCGCGGGATTTGGCAGTTTCGTAGCAATGGCGATTTCTTTAGGGTTAGAAATTGGCGCTTGATTCCAAGCTTTTCCTGGTTATACTTTAAAGTCCTAACCCACTAATGATGGTGGTGCCTGTGGTACTGTCTATATCTCATGATCGTACCACATCAGTACAGAGATCAATATATTATTATTATTATTTGTTTTTTCTTCTTAGAGTACGAGTTATCCCTAATTTTCAAATTGAATCATCAAGAGACAACAAGTTCTATTTCTTTTTGGCAAATTACTCTTTTTTGAAGATCTTCTTCTTCTTCTTCTTCTTCTTCTTCTTTTTCTTTTTCTTCTTTTTCTTCTTCTTCTTCTTCTTCTTCTTATTATTATTGCTTTCTGTTCAATACAATCCTTAACCGGGCCATTACCTGAGATCTGTGGTAAGGCCAGGTAGCAAATACATGTATTCTGTTGGCAAAAAATATAATTACTAGTTTCTTTTTTAAAATAATGTATCATTTAAAAGTTTTGTTTATTTACGATAAATATCTTTTGCACCATAAATTTAACTCTGAAGTCTCCATGCACGCAATAAAGTTGCTTAATATGTTTTGTTTCAGGAATATTAAAAAAAAAAAAAAAAACGAGTAAAAAAAAATGAAGGCAAAAACCATTTAAATATTTCTCCTATCCAAAATACATGCATAAATCAATTAGATATTGAAAATGTCTAGGCTTCTGAATTACATATTTTTTTATTTAGATTACGGTCATATGACACTGGTTCTCGCATGATCACCGCAGTTAAACAACGTCGAGTCTGGTCAGTACATAGATGGGTGACCGTTTTGGAATTCTAGTTGCTGTAAGCATCGGATGTGCGTTTGATGTAATGGATAAAGGCTCGCAGTGAAAATTCGGAGAGTCGAGTTCCAATTCCAGTCGTGTTTGTTATATTCACTTAGAGAAAGGTATGGAGACACTTTTTATCCCGACAGCTATGGATTAATTAGTAGAACTTGTATCAATAAATTTGAAAAAAACACCGCCATATCATGTTGAAACACCAATTGCTTATGCAGTTAAGCAACGTCAAGTCTAGTCAATAGCTTGATGGGTGGCTATTTGGCAATACCATGTGCTGTAAGCTTGGATAGGCGAGTAGTGTAATGTATAACGGCTCGTAAATATTAATCTGAGAGCCAAGTTCCAATTCCAGTTGGGTTCGTTATATACACTTACGTACAAATATCATTGGGAAAGGTATGAATCCACTGCTCTCCTCAGCTATGCGTTAATTATTAAAACTTGTATCGCTAAACAATTATTATTTAACAAAAAATTCTAATAAGGTTTCATGGCTTTAAATAGCGCGCAAAAGGTAGATAATCCGTAAAATATATAAAATAAATAATTGTTGAATTACCGCCCCCTGCTGATAAAATCTCACTGCAGAGAGATCTTTTAATTGTCTCCCATTGACGATAGTAACTATCGTCAATGGGAGACAAGGTTGAGTCTTTCAGGTAACTATCGTCAATGGGAGACATCTTTTCTTTTGTAAAATGTCCTGACAAAATATTTGTTAATATTTCTTTGTTCAAATCCTATGTTTTATTTTTCTTTATTTTATTTATTGTTAACGGGTCAAATGTTCCAGGAAATTATAATTTCTCATCAAAAGCTTTTATACCCACAACATAATAAATCTCGTTTATTTGCTTTTATATTTCTAGTTTAATCGTTTGTTTATATTTCATTTTCATGTCGTGAAAAAAGACAATGATTTTCCTGGTATAACTGATTTCAACGTTAGATCATCGTCTTAACCAAACCAACCGAATTGTTGCCAATCATTGATTATCTTAAAGAAGCAACAGTCAAATTAACCAGTGTAACTTTTAAACGATATATAATTCAAGACAAATACCATCCAGATATAATATTTGCCTCCCTTTAATTTTTAAAGTTGGGATTTTTGTCGGTGAAGCGAACCATTTGTGGAAGTGAATATTCCATTCAGCCCTTTCGTTGAAACCATTTATCAGGCAAATGGCATTCGCTGTTCTGAACTTGGCCCAATATTAGCCTACCAGACTATTCAGATTCCCCCATGAGACCACGTTGAGATATTTTCGGGGAACGAGGATCTTACATGCTATCAAATTCTGTATTTTCATGACAATGTCGACGGTGATGCGTAGAGACTCCTGCATTTTTATTAATTCTATTTCGCCATTTGCACACAGAATTGAACTAACCTTTTCTTCCAGGAGCTGGTTCCGGGCGTCGCACTACGTCCTTGTCATATCGAAAACCTTAGGGACTTTATCATATTTCTTGTAAACGAGTCTTATGTCTGCTATTGATGAGAATATCTGAGAATTCCCTGAGGTTGGATGGCGGTCTTGGTTGCCAGATTATTGACGGCCTCTTTATCTTCCTTTCATCTTTTAAGCAAATAAAGATCATTTCTTGATGTAAGGTGCATTCGGTGTCCCTATCGTTCGCATCTCTACAGTGATACTCAAAGAATTCTTCTCGTTTTCTTCCTAACTTTTTCTCACTTTCTTTCTATATTTATTTTTCTCCTTTCTTTCTTTTTTATTATTCTTTCATAATTCTCTCTTGATTTTTCTTTCTTTCTTTCTTTTTCTATTTCTTTCTTTCTTTTTCTTTCTTTCCCTTTTTCTTTTTTCTTTATTTTCTCTATTTCTTTCTTTTTTCTTTATTTGTTTTTATTTCTTTCTTTCGTACTTTCTGTGTCTTTCTCTTTCTTTCTCTTTCTATTTCTTTCTTTCTTTGTTTTTTTTCTATTTCTTTCATTTTCTTTATTATTTTTCTTACATTTGCCATTGATTTTTCTTTCTTTCTTTCCTTCGTTTGTTATTTTTCTGTTTCTGTTTTTGGTTTGCTTTCTTTTACGGCATATCAATCTCAACGGGTTATTTAATGCCGATACCATTTTTATTGCTGGTAATATTTAAAAAAAAAATGTATTGCTGGTAATATTTTTGTTTTCAAAAATGTATTGCTTGTAATATTTTTGTTTTTAAAAATGTATTGCTGGTAATATTTTTGTTTTCAAAAATGTATTGCTAGTAATATTTTTGTTTTCAAAAATGTATTGCTGGTAATATTTTTGTTTTCAAAAATGTATTGCTGGTAATATTTTCCGCCAAACGATATTGCGCGTAATAATTTTGCCAAAAATGAATTACTGGTATTAAAACCTATTTGTACACTTTCGTAGAGTTTTGACCTCAGTTTGGGAGTTGACTATTTGCCCATAGCTTGGACTCTAACAGGTGCTACCACCCCGGTTCAGAGTGGACCTGGTAACAAGATGAAGTGAGAGATGGTTCCACGCTCCTCAAAGCCTTCTGATCAAAGGCCTTTCTTTTGAATGTAGTTTATCGTTATACCCAGGACGATTTCTTTTGTCTTTCTTCATTTTTCTCTATTTTTTTCTTTATTTTTATCTATTTTTCTTTCTCTCTTTTGATTTTTCTTTCTTTCTTTCTCTCTTTCTTTCTTTTTCTCTATTTCTTTCTGTATTTATCTCTATTTCTTCTTCATTACAAGCACGTGATATGTTTACATAAATTTGTGCCTTCCAATTTTTGGCGAAACAAGAAATGTCGGTTAAGAAATCTGATTATTAAATTAACGTAAAATTACGTAAAAAGTATCGAACAAAATAAAATAATAATATCAATAATAATAATATAAATAAAATAAGCAATCTAAATGTAATAAGCAAATAATCCTAAGCATTAGCCCTAAACAAAAGAAATGGAAATGACTGATGTCCTCCTCTCACCACTTTCCTAAATCCAAAAAATGTGTATTTGGACCCAAACGGCGTAAAAAAAAAAAAAAAATGCGTACTTGGACCTAAACGGCGTAATGGGTGGAGCAATAACTGTACAGTAAGAATATAAAGATTATATTGGGATTCGGATATTTGTACCCCAGCATCACCTTGTTATCTTCCAGCTCTCTCTTTCTCTATAATAATAATAATAATAATAATAATAATAATAATAATAATAATACGTAGAGATGCAACTACAGCACAATACACCGGCTGAAACGTAGTGCAGGGTTGAAAGCGGAAACTGAAGGTTTTATCCTTGCTGCGCAGGACCAATGCTTGCTAACTAGGAATTATCAAGCACATATACTAAAATATTGTCAGCCCAAAATGCAGATTCTGTGATAAATATCCAGAAACGATTGATCATCTTGTATCAGGTTGTACGGTGTTGGCACCCACTGAATATAAAACCCGACATGACAGAGTGGGCCAATATCTGCACTGGAAAATCTGCAACTTCTACGGGAAGGAAACTGAAAGAAACTGGTATGAACACCACCCAGACCCGGTTACGGAGATAGGACCTGTTACAATTCTATGGGACTACACAATACACACTGACAGAACAATCAAGGCCAACCGGCCAGATATTGTTATTAAAGACCACAAACAAAAACGATGCCTCCTTATTGATATGGCAGTCCCTGCTGACTGCAATGTATCTTTGAAGATATTCAAAAAAGTTGTCAAAGTACAAGGACCTTTGAAATAGAAATCTCGAAAATGTGGCATATGGGAACATCAACAATCCCTGTTGTAGTTGGAGCCCTAGGACTGGTTGGAAAAGATTGCAGTAGACTAATTGAAGGGATTCCTGGAAATCCATGCCTCAAGGAGATACAAAAAAGTCTTCTGACAAGTACATCCCACACCTTACGAAGGGCTTTATCTATGTAATTTAATTTTTTTTTTTTTTGTCAGTGGAAAGTGTCATGACGCCATTTTAACCTTAGGTCCCTAAGGGGACCCGGAAAGAAATGTGTAAACGCCAGAAATCAAAGAAAATAATAATAATAATAATAATAATAATAATAATAATAATAATAATAATAATCCCAGTTACAGATATAGTTGTGTTGACCCCAAATACAGATTCTTTGATAAATATCCAGAAAAAATTGATCATTTGTATCAGGTTATACAGTGTTAGCACCCACTGAATATAAAACTCGATAGAGTGAGACAATAACTGCACTGGAGAATATGCAACTTCTATCGGAAGGAAACCGCCAGAAACTGGTATGAACATCAACCAGAACCGGTTACAGAAATAAAACCTGTAACAATTTTATGGGACTTTACAATGCACACAGAACAATCGAAGTTAATCACCCGGGCATCATGGTCAAAGACTACAAAAACAAAATGCGCTTTTTTTTTTATTGACATGGCAGTCACTGTAGATTGTAATGTATCTTTGAAGATCTTTAAAAAACTATCAAAATACAAGGATCTTGAAGTGCAAATCCCAAATATGTGGCACATGAGGACATCATAAATCCAGTTGTAGTTGGAGTCCTGGGATTGATTAGAAAAGGTTCCGATAGATTAAGTGAACGGATTCCTGGTAGACCATGCCTCAAAGAAATACAAAGATGTACTCACAAGTACAGTTCACACATTACGAAGAGATTTATCTATATAAAATCTGTGCGATCCTATTTTTCATAAAGAAATGATCAGTGGATGCCATTTCTAAACTTAGGTCCCTGATTGGGGCCCGGAAGTAAATGTGTATACAACAGAAATCAAAGGAAATAATAATAATAATAAAATAATAATAATAAACAAGACGGAAAGCTGAAAATAACCCCCCTTTCCAGTGGTGTTAAATGCGCCGATGGATGGATGACAAATAAAGAAAATAAATATTAAAAGCTTTACGAAATGAACCAGGGTACTTATGGTAGACTTCTGATCATGTGCATTAACAATTAGGCCCTGGGCACCGATTAAGAATACTCTCTCTCTCTCTCAAACTCAAACTAAAAAAAAATATTCGTCCATAGAACGTGTTCCCGGCTGAAAACAACTAGCGTTGGAAGCGACTTCGTAAGTCAATAAACCAACCCCTACCTCCTCAAGAACCTGCTACAAATCAAAACAGGGATGTTCCAAAATCTGATGCGCTTGTTCAATCATCAAGACTAAAGCACAACAAAATAAACACTCGATAAATATGAACAAAGTGGAATGTTATTTATGCACATTATCTCGCAACGTTGCACCCAAATATAACAACCAGCCAAAGAGAAAGCAACTTTGCGTGGAACGGCACATCATCCGCAAAACCATTTCTATATTAAAGAAATGTCCCAAAGATAAGTCTCCTACAGTGACCGTTTTACTCATAAACCCCGGATGGGACTTGGTAATTAGGCACTTAAATTTACTCTCTGGCAAGATCATACTACAGATAATAATAATAATAATAATGCTTCAACAGGAATTACCAAGCAAAAAATAAAACTTACGGCCATATCACGTTGAAACAGCAGCAGTGGAAGTTAAGCAACGTTGAATCTGGTCAGTATCTAGATGAATGACCGTTCAGAAAAGCCAGGTGCTGTAAGCATGGATGTGCAGGTGGTATAATGGATAAAGGTTCGGAATGAGAAATCGGATAGCCGAGTTCGAATTACAATCGGGTTCGTTATATTCACTCACATGCAAATGCCCTTGGGAAAAAGAATGGATCCACGTATTCTCCCCCACCCCCGGGTATGGTTTAGATAGAAAGACGAACTCAACTGGAATTCGAAACCTGCTCACCGATTTATCATTCCAAGTGGCTATTCATTACACCATCCGTACATCCAATGACATATGAGTGGGAAGTATATTCGTTGGGAGATATGTCAGTATGACAGTGCACCACAAGGAAAAAAAAATGGTACGAAAATCATAGAAGTCAATGAAGACAATATTCTTTGGAATTTTACCATTCATACTAATTCGCAATAGAGTGCATATCGACGTAGTGTACTTGTCTCGCTAGATCAGTTAAGACTGAATAGTGAGTTCGATTCTCACGTGGTACTCCATATTTTGGCCGCGTGCCACATCTAAGTTATCATTTTGGGCAGTTGGACATGGTTTAATGGTTAGCAAGTTTGTCTCACTAGATTAATTACGAATGAGTTAGAGCCTTACGTGTGTCCCATACGTGTGCAAGTTAATTGAAAGAACTGCTTTAGTTTCCTTTCTTTCACAATATGGCCAGTTTTAGACCCACTGGGGTGACAGGGTGTAATCGATTTCTATTTTTCCTCAGATTACGTCATTTTCAGTGGTGTGTAGTAATATGAATCTATTTTCGGGGTGTATGATGAAATTTGTTTGGCCTTGAAAAATATTGCGTCATCCGTGATTGCATCAGATTTTTATCACGCTTAGACGCTATTGTCTCGACTGTCAATTAGTTGTGCTATGGCCACTGTCTGCGATGAACGTTACGGCAAGGAAGTGTACGAAAAATGTAACGCTGCACAAACACATTGGCAAGCCTTACAAGTGAGAAAATCAAAGTACTATAGACTGGATCGAAAACTCATGTAAATCCAATCGAGCATCTGTGGTCGTTCTGCGAGGAACGACATTGTGGAATGGACATACGAAATACTAGCATGTGTTCTGGGTCATGTTTCATTGGAAAATATGGAAAAAATTAAATAATAACGGAATTATTTGTTTTGTTTCAATTAATTAGCACAAAGGTGTATCTAAACTACGGTTAGAAAAATCGCGATACTAATTGGCATAAGTGAACATGCAGACTGATTAAAGATATCTACTTCAATGAGTCGTATTCTTTAAGGATATAGGGAGTCATGGCTCTCTACAATCTCCTGTCACCTGAATAGCTTCGTAAGTTTTGTATTTCTGTGATCTCTAGTAATCGCTGTTCTGACAAAATATTACAGATGTTCGTTAGGTAGGTTACTCATAGATTTCCTTTGTCGAGCTTGACTTATATGAATTGTGAGTGTTAAATTTTCTGTGTCTTCATTCCTCCTAATGCTCCCTAGAAAATTCAATTGTCCATTCCTGAAGTCGAAATGTCCTTTGTTTTTCCATTTTCCCAGAAACTTCATTGTTGCTCATATGTTCAGTCCATGGTATTTTCATTATCCTTCTGTAGAACGTTATTTCTGCTGCTTCAAGTCTCTTCTTTATCTGTAATGTGATCGTCCACTATTCCCTGCCTTATAGGACGACTGATACTACGTAACGGTTCAGTTCCCCTTTGTTTGTTTCTAACAAAATTTTCTTGTTTTTTAATACTTTGCTTAGCTTTTGGAAGGCAACCTTTCTATCCCAACGCATCTTCGGCATTTAGTTTTTCATTTTTCCGTCTTCTGCTTAAACACTATGATATTTACATGGTTTTACTAACTTGATTTTGGTGCCTCTAATTTATAATTGGTATGTTGCGCTATTCATTTTGTTGACAACCATATATTCAGTTATGTTTAGACCTTTCTTCCAGCTTGCATTTACTACCTTCTGTAGCATTCCCTTTAGTTTCCAACTGCGCCTGCTATCCACATTGTGTCATCTTTACCGCTGTTAATATTGTCAAAAGTTTAATCATAGATATGGCAATATCATAAGTAAAATATATATTAAAGAATATTACAAGATAAATTAATATAAGAATCTTGAAATTGAATAAGTGCTGTATCTTAAATCTATTATGTCATGCCTA